AGATTCCTCTCATGAGGTGAATAAGGCCTGTCGATACATTCTTATTTCCTTTTGTTTGCAGCTCCAGCTGAAGACAACACTTGCAGATTTGAAGACAAACACAGTGGAAGTTACACATCTGCGTGGACCACTGCATCCATCACCAAGTTGCATTTGTATTGCTTTTAAGATATTTGACTTTTCCCTTTAACTTGGAGGTCTTTGTGGAAATTGTTGATACATTTCCAAGGACTCCTGGAGCAAGACAGACGTACCTGCGAGGTTTTCTAAAGCTGTTTCCATTGGCCTGTGTTTATCTGACACTTGGATTGACAGCAGAGTGATTGGAAATATCCACCATTCACTGCTGCGAGCTCCTGAGTGCACGGAAAGTGCTTTTGTAGTCTGGCTGTAATGGGCCAAGTTTGAATTGAAGGTTGGGAGAAATAGCCTCACTGCGGTCGCGCACTGTGAGGAACTGACACACCACAAATAATACTCAGAAGTGGGCTCCTGATAGCATCACAGCCACAGAGCAGATACAATAGCATACAGGCTCTCATTTCAATGCACTTTCACAATGTTGTAATCTGCACAGTCAGATGGAGGGGAAGGAATAAAGTCAAACACAAACTCAGGTTCTGTCTACTTGGCTGTATTATGTTTCTGAAGATACAAACACAAAAAGTCCCAAAAGTGTTTCTTTTTATACATTTTAAAGGTATACACCAAACCAACTATGATTTGGACAGTCCATAATAAGTGTCTACCTCAGAGTTGGTATAAAATGTACATTTTCTTTTTGGTGTTACATTAGCCACACCTGGCTTCATAATTAAACTAAGCGCCAAGAAGAAAAGCAATGATCTTAGAGAACCATGCAGTCCATCAGTCTGCTCTACACCAGAATCAAGTAAATAAATCCTCTCCTTACCACATTTAACTCTGCACAGGCCTGTTAATTACTCATTCATTTCAAGCAGGTGTGTAGGAGCAAAGAAACAGCTAACATGTGCAGGATGGTAGACCTTGAGTACTGGAGTTGCTGACCCAAGCTTTAGATTTAAAAGTGTTATTTTTAACTAACTACAGACCTTACAGCAAATCAGGCTATATCTTTAGTTTTGCATATCTATACAAATACCTTATACCAACTGTCGTGCACAGAGGTGGAAGGCTGATGATGTGGTATTGTTAACCTTTCACAGGATCTTATAGCCATTGATTTGTCCTTCAAATACATCTGTGCCCCTCAAAGCTGGGGTTTATGACAGAATCAAGGAGTGGAGATGTCTAAATTTGAACGGCTATCAACCTTAATCCTGGGTCAGCTTATGTAGAGCAAAATATGGTGAAATATCAAAAATAGCACATAATCGTTAGCTTTCAGGCTGAGTTTTAATTTCTTGTAGTGGTTTATTTGAACATTTCAAGAGGATTTTAAAAACTGTTTGTCCCCGAAAAATCTATTTGGGCAGCTAAGGAGCATGTTGAGCTGTTCAAGGTTGCACTAACAACCAAAGAAAGTTACATTTGTGGCTACAAGAGGGATGTTTGGAACATGCAATCCATTTTTGCTGTATATCAGCGATAGAGGACCTGGTCTTTCCATGTCTGACTGCATTCTCAATCTGCTGTTTGTATTTTCTCATGTAGAAATTAAAATCCAGGTTTGGTGATGAGGGATTTTAAGGCTTTGACTCAGCTCTGCATCTACTTTTATGTAGGTACTGATAAGCCTCAAAGCTTTAAAGATTGTTCATTGCCTCGCTATTGAACGCGACAGTTACAAAAGTAGCTAAAATGCTACTGTATGTTAGCTTTGGCCAGATTTTCATATCTTTCTCCACCCCTCTGCAGTAGGAAGAGGGATTTTAATGGTGTCCCATTTGAGCTGTGACAGCTGGTGTTCCCACAAAGTTTACATCTCTAAAAGTCCATATAAAGGGGATTAGCATGAACGGGTGGCATCTTCCAGCCATCAAAACTAGAGCCCTGCACTGAAGCCCTAGGCCCTCGGGTCGGCCCGGCCCGACGGCCCTCGGGCCGGGCTTCGGGCCAACGACTGTGTAATTACCTCGGACACGGGCCGGGCCGGGCGCCTTTATTTTTATTCGAAATCATTAAAAAAATTAAAACACTTAAACGCAGCAGTAGAGCCCTGTGCGGGACTGTTTTCTTCATCCCGCTCCGCTCCCGCTGAATTTCTGACCATTACAGCCTGCAACCGCAACGTGTGTGTTACACTCCCGCCCGCACCTGCAGCGTGCATGTCTACTCCCGCCCACACCTGCAGCGTGCATGTCTACTCCCGCCCGCACCTGCAGCGTGCATGTCTACTCCCGCCCGCACCTGCAGCGTGCATGTCTACTCCCGCCCGCACCTGCAGCGTGCATGTCTACTCCCGCCCGCACCTGCAGCGTGCATGTCTACTCCCGCCCGCACCTGCAGCGTGCATGTCTACTCCCGCCCGCACCTGCAGCGTGCATGTCTACTCCCGCCCGCACCTGCAGCGTGCATGTCTACTTCCGCCCGCAACCGCAAAACTCGGAGAAATTATTACCTCACAATAAAAGAGATGTATTGAGTTTGCGTCCTCAACATGTCATTTTATAGGTTATCCGCTTTCACAGCAGTGCTGCGCTCCGTTTCAATCAGGCTGCACAGCAGGATTTCCCCTCGTAGCGATATTTTCTCTAACTCTGATTGCTTCATGCTATAGATCGTTGGAAAGCTGCTTTTATGTACTTTTAGGAACCGTTGGAATTATTTGAATCTGATCAGCCATTCAAAAGTTATAAAACGGAGCATTTTGGATGACAAACTCGCATGTCTCTGAATCTGTGTTGTGATTCGTTGCGCTCAAGACAGGAAATCCCGGTGGCTACCATAATGTATTGTATATGCACGGAAAGCCCCATTTTTAATCTTTTCAGCACTTTTGGAATTTTAATGATATCTTGAACTAGAGCAGGGATCGGCAACCCGCGGCTCTTCCATCCATCTGCCGATGTGCTTGTAAAATAATGAATGGATATTTAAATAAAATGCTTTATATTTTACTGAATTAATTTTATATCTGTAAGTCAATTCTATGTGAAGATTGTCTGCGTAAACCTGAACAGTTCCAGCCCGGTCTTACTGTGAGACCGTGTTGGGTCACGCTTGTGCGTAATCATATGCGCTCATGAGCTGAAGAGGATGTGAGATTCTGGGCTTCTCCTCAGACGGCTCCTGGATGTGTCGCACATTGGAGACAGGAACAAGCGCTATTCAGCCAAAGTTTCATAATCAGGGAACATTTTCTAAGTGACAAGTCTCTCTGAGAGACAGGGTTTGGAAAACACTCGCTTCAGTGGGAAGCTTCCCGCATGCGCTTCTGCGACGCTCGGATCCTGCACGTCTTTTAACACATTGGTCAGGATTGACGCACTTTGTTTTCATTTAGTTGGTTAAAAAAAGTCGGGCTTGGGCTCGGGCCGGGCCAGAGAATCCTGAAAACCTTTTCGGGCCGGGTCGGGCTGGGGCTCCACCCCCTCGGGCCGGGCCGGACACGGGCTCAGATTTTAGGCCCGTGCAGGGCTCTAATCAAAACCACCCAATCCCTCAGCGAAATATACTGTTGTCCTTCAAAGTGTCCCCACACACAACTGGACAGTGCTAGAATCTACTGGAGAAACAAACAGTATGCCATATTCATGGAAATAAAAAATGGAAATCAGTCAATGAGGCAGTCCACCATACACCATCAACCCAGAAAAACTAGCATTGATGATTACCAGCATATGTTGTGTTTTGGTATGCTGGACCAGCATTGTTGGTCCATTGCATGCTCGCCCTGGTTCAGCAAGTGATGCAGGTCCACCAGCTAAACCAGCATCACAAAACACTGCTGGTAACCATCTATGCTGGTCTATGCCGTATTTTCAGCAGGGAAAGAAGAAGCAAATACATCCTTTTCGAAATAAATAACTTAAGTACCTATGTGTGCTGCTGTCTCAAAGAAAGGTTTGAGTCTAAATCATTCAAATTTGATGTCAAAGTCATTTCAAACAAGCACTGTTCCTGAGCTAACACCATTTTTGTAGTTTTTCCTCTGTTGCAGCTCTAGTGTTCAGCCTGCCCAACAAACGCAGAGCACTGTGATTGCCAAGGCACAAAACTGATCAGGTCATTAGTGACCGGATGAGGCCATGAGGCATGGCTAAACCAACCTGTAGATTTTGATACTTCTGTGATTGGTATAGATTTCTATCGAAGAACAGGGTCAGAGAGCCAAATTTAAGCATTTTTAAGTCAGTTTATTTCAAATTCAATTCTAATGTTTTGGCTCCCGTGTGTGTGTGTGTGTGTGTGTGTGTGTGTGTGTGTGTGTGTGTGTGTGTGTGTGTGTGTGTGTGTGTGTGTGAGAGAGAGAGAGAGAGTGTATGTGTGACATCTATTTTAGCCTTATATATTACATTGTATTCATATTTTATTACCTCTTACATGAGCTGTCTTTGTGTGCGTGTGTGTGTGTGTGTGTGTGTGTGTGTGCGCGCGCGCGTGCGCGCGCGTGCGTGCGTGTGTGTGTGTGTGTGTGAAGAGAGAGTGTATGCGTGACATCTATTTAGCCTTATATATTACATTTTATTCATATTTTATTACCTCTTACATGAGCTGTCTTTAGTGAGCACAGTCAATTTCACTGTACAGCAATGACAAAAAATTGTCTTGAATGTTGAAATTTAAAAATAGTATAAATAAATAATATAAAAGTATAATTTTTAAACATTTTAAAATATATATGCTCCATTATGATAGACTGGTTTTACAACACTGAAACGAATCGATTTAAAATTACTACAACCCACTGCCACCTACACAGAAACATCAGGCATGCATAATCAACAGGAAAAGAACAACAAAGAATGATTGACACTTTACTTGACAAATAATACCACGGCAAGCGTCATGACCAACCAATCACGTTTCAGCTGAGAACGGTGGGACTTCCGGTCTGTGACGCAGTTATTCCCGGTCAACAGAAGAGGCCCCACCCTTTGTCTTACCTACCGTCCGTCAATCAAAATAGAAAAAATCTGTCACTTATCATCTATTTTTGCGCTCATACAATCAAATTAATCATCTTATCATGTCCCGTTGTTTGTGACTATCAGGGCTGACCGTATAAAGACAAGTCACGCAATGACTGGTACGTTGTATTTTTCATTCTTTACTCACGTAAGCTAACAGGCTATCTATCTGGGGCATCCTTTAGCTAATTAGCTGCTAACAGGCATGCTTGTTGTTGATTTTGCTCATCACGGCCGACTAGAGAGACAGATTAAATACTGGTCTGGTCCATTTATATTTTCCTCTAGTGTGGTTTCCTTTTATCCAGTTAAACCCACCTAATAATTTTGTTGCAGTTATTGTTCGCTACTTCGCTGACGCTGCCAGATGCTAGTCCTTTGAAAGTCAGGTGAAGCTAACGTTAGCGTCGGCTGTTTTACTTTTCTAATCTTCATCCTGTTTTCGCTTCACAGCCCCAGAACAGCCGCTGAAGACGAATGATATGGCTGCCCTGGACGCTGACCGCAGTCAGGAAGGTTTTATGCAGCAGGAAAAGAGCAGCGGAAACCAGGTAAGATCTCCCTCTTGTTGTTTTCACCAGTGAAGTCATAGCTGCGTTGGTACCTGAGTGTGTGGAGGCATCCTAAACTCATTTGAACCTCTCAGGCAACACTTCTTTTAAAAATCATAAATCTTGCTTGTCCTTTTTTAGACGTTTATGTCCATAATTTCATAAATCTCGAACTAAAATGGGGTTTTACTTCTACTAGAAAGTTGTTTACCTTTTGCTGCAAGATGTTTGCAATTGGACCAGTGACCCTGGTCCTGTTCAGGCTTGACCCTAACACGCTTCCATGATGAGCTTAGGGAAATTTTCACACCTAACATAAATCCAACCTGAGTGATCAAACCACAGTTGCCTTTTTAGCATGCAAATAAACGGGTACCCATGTAGGACAAGTACATGCCACTCTGCGCCACTTATGTAGCCAGACTGACTATACGAGAAAATTAAAGAAGCAAAACATTATGTTGCAGAAACACTGATTTTAAGATGCACAGTAACAGACAGGTCATCATTTTACTGGAAAGCAAAATAAAATCCAGTGGGATTGTTGGCAGATTATTGAATGTATCTCACATCACCTCAGATTCTAACCAGAGTTAACAGTATATTCAAAGTTGTCTTTAGAACATTTACATTTGCATCACCAGGATGCATGTTTCTACCACATCTGCATTTACACGCATGCACTTAATAAACTGAATCCAGCATCTTGTTCAGCCATAAACTTGGTCACAAATGCAGGATAACTTCCTCACCATTAAACTTTGTATGAATCTGTATTAATCAAAAAAGAGAAATTCACAGGTGGTGGTTTATTGCATAGGGTCTTGTTAAAGATCTTGGTTGTTTATTTCTAGCACTTAATCACATTATTATAGCAGTTGGAGCACAAAGTCTACTACAAAACTTTAGTAACATGTTCTCAGTATGGTCCAAATCTTTGAAATAAGCGTACATAATGAATTGTACACACATTAATTTCTATTTCTAATTTTAACGGTCTTTTAAGAACGATGATTTTTAAAAACTAAGCTTATTTAATTTAGTTGATTTCATGTGGTATAGCCTCCCATTTATCTTTGATTCATGCTGCCATTTTGTCCAGAATTTTCTGACCAAAAATTTATCTTAGTGGGACCTTCCTGGTTAATAAAAGCACAAAAGGTTACATTATTTTGATTTAGGTGCTGCCTGAGGGGCTCAATACTGGACATTTTTAGCAGTAACCCATCCTTTCTGTGTGGCCTTTGCTAATGGCCGCCCACTTTCTTCCCTTTAATCGTGCATACTGTGGGTAGGAAACTCAGCCATCCCCCCTCGATCTGCTAGCAACCACCTGCACTAAGGTTGGGTCACCATCGTCAGAGGTGAACAGAGGTGCTGCCGCTGATGTGGTAAGTCGGCACCTCTGCTACATCTGAGAGTTTTAGCAGAAGTGAATCTTTTACTCACAGCAAAACTGGTGGTGGGATATAGGTCAAGGTGTGTTTTGAAGCAATCTGTTGGAGATAAAAAATTTAGTTTTGATTTTGGGTTTGGTCGTCAGTGCGTTGAATTTGACATTAAAATTGTGGTAGCTGTATGAGGAGATCAATTTAGAGTGTATGTTTATTTCCTGGTTCATCTTTTTGTTACTCATGCCTAGTGCCAGTTGCTTAGAATATTTAAACGTGTGGAACACTGAATTTCTTATTATTTCTAATTATAATGGGTCATTCAGTTTTTCATGCAGGCTGAACATGAAAATAGTCTCCTACACCTATCTCCTTCATTAGCTTCAGATAGAATATAGACTGTCAATCTTTAGGATTAGAAAATCCTGACAGATCTACATCATCCTGTCACTTAAAATTCATGGACTCACCCATCTTGGCTCACGACGAGGAAGGCTGCTGTTGGTTTAGTGTCCAGGAATCAGCAGAGAACGTCTCGGCTAGTAGAAGTTAACTGTTAGTATTGGCATCTCCACAACGTGGCAGAACTCCTTCATCCTTGTGTTATTTTTTTATTTTATTTTTTATTTTTTTTATTAGCTCCAGGTTAAAGTGAAACGTGGAGGACGTTGTGTGCAGCCCTGGCCATTTGATGTAATTAATTTATGAGTAAACAAGCTGGTTGTGTTACCAAACTTGGTTTTTAATCAATTCTCTGTGAATGTTTCGATTGACCATGGTGTCTTTTGTCAGGCTTGTAAAAAGCAAAATATCGTCATGCTTGTGAACTACTGAAACCTTTTTACGGGACTATTTTCTCCACCGCTCCTTGCTGCAACATTATGCTGTCTGTTTTGGTTTGAGAGGGTAGGGCTTGGTGACAAAACGTGGCTGGGTATGTGTTTTTGATTTGTTGGGAGTAGGGTTGTCACGGTAACCGGTGTAGCAGTAAACCCCGGTGAAAAAGTTGACAATATTAATAACCGTCTTATTTTTAAAAAACTATATTATCTCGGTGGATTACCGTGGCTGCGGTGTAGGCGCGGTGACCCTTACCAGCCACCGTATCATCTGCTGAAGTTGCCGGCGGCACATGCGCGCTTTTTTTTGTTTACAACCAAAACTTTCTTGAAGCTAAAGCTGAAAAAATGGCCAAAGGAGGAGGTGGCAGCACTCAGGACATTTATTATCCCTCAAAGAAGACAAAGTGGGAAGTATGGGCATTTTTTTTTATATTTGAAGAATGCCGAGGGACAGTTGATAGAAGACTGCTATCCTGTTTGCAGCACATGCAGGAAAAAGGGTCTGTGAAAGGCAGCAACGCTTCAAATCTCATGACACATCTGCGTGACCATCACCCACAACTCTACAGTCAACGCAAGGCAAGCTAACGTTAGCATTTTAGCTAAAATGCGTGATCCGAGGATTTGGGTTGAGGGAGAATGCAACGAGTCGCTATATAAAGCAGCCGCAGCGCCGCTACCTGCATATAAACCGTGTCTCGGACACCCCCATATTGAAATGATGCTATGCATTACGGGGCTCCCAGGGGCAGATAAGAGTTGGTCTCTCTCCGAGAATAATTATGAATTTAACAATGATTACTGCCTGATGACATTTTCCCACATCTGCAAAGCTCACTGGAAGGACACAAACCGAGGACAATATTTTCCTGATATAGGGTTTATTACTCAAGTAAGGGTAAAATGTATCTGATTAGAAGGCTACTTGAGTACTGAGTATCATCTGATCTAATATTTTTAAAATGATGACATCAAACAGACATAAAATAAGAAGTTATGGGCAAATATTGGTATTTTAACCCTTTGGTGCATAACGGTCACTACAGTGGACAGGTACTCAAAATTGTTATTTATTTGTTTTTGCTATTAAGCACAGCTGTTGAAGACTTTATTGCATTTGAGCCCCTCCGTTTGGACTTCAGTAAGCCAAGCCAACATATTTCATGCTCAGAATGCACGATGTCCACTGAAGTGGACATGTAATAAATTATTTGTAAATTATAAAATTTTACAAAAAATATTTGTTGAAATTTGTTTCATTCACACCTAAAGACGAATGAAAAAATTGTTTAAAAAATCATGGTTGAAGATTTCATAATTCATGCATCAAAGGGTTAAAGACTAAAGGAGAAAAAATGTAAACAAATAAACAACATAATTACAAAATAACACATTTTAGGCTAAATGTAGATGCAAACTGAGGACAATATTTTCCTGATATACAGGGTTTATTTAGTTGTCTGAAAATGTAACACGTTTAAAAAAAATACCGCGATAATACAGAAAACCGTGATAATTTTGGTCATAATAACCGTGAGGTTAAATTTTCACACCGTGACAACCCTAACCCAGAGTAGTTTCGGCTCATTAAATAACAATAGACAGCTCCAGCTTATAAGCTTGACTCTCCCATATTCCAGTTAGAATTGACAAAGCTCCTCGGATGAGAAGCGAAATGTCTGCAAGTAACCAAAAAGTCCAGTTGCCTTCATTTGAACCGTTTTGGATTACCATGATCTGGATGACTGAGAACCTTCACCAGCATCGTGACAACTGCTGAAATCACATGTGATTTAGCAATGCTACTGTGATTTTGAGATCTTGTGGGACCAGCTGCGTGGAACGTATTTGCAGCCGATGTGTGTCTGAAACGCTGCCGGTAGGAACGTTCACGTAGCAGAAACTCATGTCTATTACGTTACTCAGGCTTGTGTTAGACGTAGAGATAACACATCAACCCAAGAAATGTGAAATGTGTGCAATTAGTATGATTGAGATGATACATTTTACTAACAATCTTAATAAACTGCTAACATGTGAAATAAAACCCAATATTTTCCTTAACTTTTACAAATAAAATGTTTTTATTCTTTTGCTCCACATATTTATAAAAACATTGATCTCATTTAATATTTTAAAGTTTTTCTTAATGTTTTCATTTTTAGATACTTATGATTCATTTCCCCCTCAGGCACCAGACCCATCTCTACAGCTTACTGGGACTGACAAATGGGAGGTGTTAACCCCCACAACAGCAGCAAAGGATGATTCTGGAATAATACAGATCCAAAGTCCAGGTATTTTGACATCAAATGGACAGTATGTTCTTCCTCTCCAAAGCTTACAGAGTCAGCCAATCTTTGTGACGTCTGGGATGAACAACTCATCTGCCAATTCAGTGCCTAATATTCAGTACCAAGTGATCCCTCAGCTTCAGACCTCAGATGGACAGCTGAGCTTCTCCACGTCTGGCATGGAAGGAACAACTCTGACTCAAGATGCTACTGGGCAGATTCAAATCTTGTCTGATGGTGGTCAGAGTCTCAGTGTGGCATCGTCTGCAAACATCCTTAACAACAACCAAAACCTCATTTCACAAACTGGTAACGTCCAGCAGATCCATGGGGTTTCTATTGGCAGCTCCACCTTCAACAACCAGGGCCAGGTTGTTACCAATGTGCCTGTGGGCCTGCCTGGGAACATCACCTTTGTTCCTATTAACAGTGTTGACCTGGACTCTCTTGGCCTGTCGGGTGCTCAGACTATAGCAACAGGGGTCACCGCTGATGGTCAGCTAATTATGGCGAATCCGGCGGTGGATAGCTCAGACGGTTTGAATAAGACGGATGATCACCTCTCACAAACGCTACCAGTGAATAACTCGAATGCAAATACGGAGATATTTGTGCCAACGTCTTCCTCTCAGCTGAATGCTGAAGGGGGTCTGCTGACGCAAGAGGCCTCCCTAACGTCTGTCGCTGCAGAGCAACCCGACTCAAACGCTGGGCTTCAAGAAGGCTTCATGCAACATAATCAGGAGCAGAACGTCCAGGTTTCTTCAGCTCAGCCCATCATCCAGCTGCAGCCTATTCAGACCACCAATGGTCAGGTGGTTGCAACAGGGGGTCAGTCTCTACAAAATGTGCAATTGATCAACCCGGGAACCTTCATCATCCAAGCTCAGACCGTCACGCCCTCAGGGCAGATACAGTGGCAGACCTTTCAGGTACAAGGAGTGCAAAACCTTCAGAACCTTCAGCTTCCCACCACCCCACCCCAGCAGATAACGCTGGCCCCAGTCCAGACCCTGTCCCTAGGAAGCATCGGTGCAGGACAGATCCCCAACCTGCAGACGGTGACTGTCAACTCAGCTGTCCAGGAAGGGGATACAAATATTCCTGGAGGTAATGTGTTGTTTTTTTTTTTTTTTACTATGTTAATAAATCCTTTGGTTATTTAGCATTCCTTCAAGCTTGTTGCTTTTCAGCAAACACCTTAATTTTTGTAGCTAAATATGGTGTCCACATGAATCGTATCGATCTGAGGAGTTTTTGATTTTAGTTGTCACCTTTGTTGCACCTTCTGAGCTTGCACGTAGGATCTTGTGGGAAACATTTATTAAGGGGCATAAAAAGGATCTTAATATTCTACATTTATTACAGTAATTCCAAGAAGATGGTTTAAATCTGCTTACACTCCACAGCTGGAAACCAGCAGCGTGTCTAAAGTAAACTGCCTCTTGTCCATCAAATTTAGTTTACTAATGGCTGTTTTAGTTAGAGGTTTTTCTACAACAATAACTAGTGGGCCTTTTCACACACTCGTGTATAAATAATCAAAGCAAAGATGGCTGAAGACATTTAGCTGCTTTAGTTTTATGATACTTCTATTGTGCCTCGTAGCTCACTGATTTACGAGTGCACTTAAATAGAGTAGACCAGTCCCTGATGGTTTTAATTACACCTGTGCTTTTCACAACATGACAAGTCAAAGTCTACAATAAAACTGCTCTACACTTTAGTTTGTCGGAAAAACATCAATTTCATGTAAACAACTGTTGTTGTGGAGCAGTTTAGATGAAGTTTTTAGTTTATTTAGAGTGTTGCCTGTATATTTAGCACATTTTTGTGACGATTTAAACATAATTTCAGATATTCGGATCAAGGAAGAGCCCGACTCCGGGGAATGGCTGAACACAAACTCGACCCTCAACACCATGGATCTGTCCCACATTCCTGGCAGGCTGGTAGATGAAGAAGATCCGCTCGGTCAGGAGGGCAAGAGGCTGCGCAGAGTGGCGTGTACTTGTCCTAACTGCAAAGAGTCAGGTGGGAGGTGAGTAAGTCTGACTCGTGGTTTCACTAGTTTGCAGAGCCGTATCGACAGAAAAAAACTGGGATTTAAAGGCGTCTCAATCTGCTTCTCAGAGGATCCGGCGTGGGGAAGAAAAAGCAGCACGTTTGCCACATCGCAGGCTGCGGAAAAGTCTACGGAAAGACGTCACACCTGCGAGCACACCTGCGCTGGCATTCGGGGGAACGACCTTTTGTTTGCAGCTGGATGTTCTGTGGGAAGAGGTTCACACGCAGCGATGAGCTGCAAAGGCACAGGAGAACACACACAGGTGCCCTTCTGCTTTTGCTCGCTCTGTGTTTTCACATCAGGAAAGCAGGCATCAAATCTGGAACATGTGTTAATTTGTGCCCTGCAAAAATGCGAGTCAAGTAAGAAATAACAGTGTTTGTTGGTGAGTGTAGAACCGGGTGAAAAATTACATTTCCTAAGACCAGGTCATGCAGTAAAGTATAAAAGGGGGGTTGTTTGTTCAGATTTCAGCTGTTGTTGGTATATTTAATCCACTTATTCTTCAGTTAGGACTCGGGCCGGGTACCGAAGCTCTGTACATCTTCAGTACCAACCGAAGACATTTGGTAGGTGCTGGTAGCAACAAAAAAAATCTTTTTGGGGCAAAATTTGAGATTGGGGTCTCACCCACACACAGACCTGCTTCTTGTCTATAACTCACTAAAAGAAATGAAACTCAAACACTTATAGTTTGGCTGTGTTTTTTAAAAATAAACATCAACAGAGTAACATCTGTGATGACATTTGGCTCACTAAATATGTAAATACCTGCCATTTAATAAAGCATTGCGTCGGTCGTGGCATCAGTGTGTGAGCCGAAGCATGACCCATCATTCCCTTTAAAAAATAAATTAAAGCAGACCCGAGTCCACAACCTTTCTCCTCCACTGCATCGCTGCAGGTGCCATTCTGGTTTTTCTCTAGGAAAATTACTAGGACTGCGTTTACAGTGTACATGGTTATTTTTGTCCTTTACCTCAAATTTATACTATATTTATTTGTTTGTTTGGTTGATTTGGGATTTAAACATTTATTTGTTCCTAGTTTTTAGAGATCTTTCATATTTTTTGCACCAAAGAATAAACTATTTATCTCCATACTGTTTATTTTTGTCCTGAACTAAAAAGTAAATTTTACCTTTTTTATTTTTTAGACAAACATTTAAATTTAGTTTTACACTTACTTTAAAATGAAAGATGTTAAATTATAATTTACCATATTTGCTATGTTTTTATTTAGTGTAATGAACATGAATAAGATCAGACTTGAAGTAGCACCAAAGAAGTAACGTTTGTGTACCGGTACTGAAACAAATCTGAACGACCCAACTTTAACACTGCTGTTGGCCTCAAGTCAGAAAAATGTCCAAATGGAGGAAGTGATGAAATAAAAGAACCAGAATGAGGTTATGGAATGAAGCTCTGTAGAAGGAGAACCTTTTACCCATCCTGGGCAGTAGCAGCTCAGCAGGTTGAGCGGGTTGTCCAGCAATTGGAAGGTTGCAGGTTCAATCCCGGCTCCGGACTGAGAATTCTGCTGTTGTGTCCTCGGGCACTTACCCACCTTGGCTGCTGGTGGTGGTCGGAGGGACCGGTGGCGCCTGTGCTCGGCAGCCTCGCATCTGTCAGTGCGCCCCAGGGCAGCTGTGGCTACATCGTAGCTCATCAGTGTGTGAATGTGTGTGTGTGAATGGATGAATGATACACTGTAGTGTAAAGCGCTTTGGAGTCCTTACTCTGAGAGGCGCTATACAAGTGCGGGTCATTTATCATTTGAAGGGGCATGGCCGCTGATGTAGTTTCATCCTGCTGTATTATTGGCAGCGTGAGGCCTCTGACAGGATGGAGGTAGTAGCATTTCATTACGCTGTCAGAGCAACCGTTGGCATTCACAGTGAATTTTCCAACAGGATATTTAATCTTTAAAGCTTTCGATTGGTAATAATTGTCATCAGTTGTGTGGTCTCCATTCAACAGTGGCAGATCAACTTTAGAGGCTAAGATCTGATCATGCTGGCTGCATAAATTCAAGCTGAAAACCCGCGTTTATGAACTTTTATTTTAAAATTAGTTGCATCAAACTTTATTTTCCTTCTGACAGGCGAGAAGAAGTTTGTCTGCCCGGAATGTTCCAAGCGTTTCATGCGGAGCGACCACCTGGCGAAGCACATTAAAACTCATCAGAACAAAAAGGGCGTGAACTCCGGCGGCCCCGCGGTGGCCTCGATGGAGTCGGCGGGCTCCTCCGACAGCATCATCACGGCAGGCGGAACCACCCTCATCCTCACCAACATCCAGCAGGGCTCCAACAACGCCCAGGACATCCTGGCCAACGCGGAGATTCCTCTCCAGCTCGTCACCACGGTCGCCGCCAGCGAAGTCATGAAGTGATTGGCTCTCTTTGAACTTCCTTTTTACTGTATATGCCTCTCTGCATTTTTATTCGAGTTTTGAAGGAAAATTATAAATAGATATATATATATATATTTTAACACAGAAATAGTTTGTGTTCATGCTCAATTTTTTGAGGTAAGAAAACAAGTGGGAGGTGAAAAAGTGAAACAGACATTGCAGTAAACTCAATGAAATGCCTTATTTTGTACAAAAATGTGTAGTTGGAAATGTGGGATTCCACTTTGTTCTAATTGTACTTATTTGTTAATATTGTGTTGTTTTAGTTTTTTTTTCATGGAAACTTATTGCTAAATCAAGCAGCCCCCACCCCACCCCCCGCCGTTTTGTGATATATTGATTTTTTTTTCCTAGTAAGCAAAACTTGCCCAGTTTTCTTTTCACAGCACAACTAATTCTCTCCAGCAACAGCGATTTTAATAAGTCCATGCAAATATTTCACGTTATGTGAGTTTTAATTATTGTTGTGCATCGTTATCTGGAAGTCAGCCTTCCTCATCCGGCTTTTTCATGAACTTTTTCATACCTTGCCACACTTGCCACAGGATGAAGCGGTTACAGAGAATGAGTGAAGGAACTTAGCAGGTGAATAATGAAAAACAATCAGATTTGTTTTTTTATGGCAGTTTTTCTTTCATATTAAATGTTTGTTTATGGAACAGTTTGAACAGGCTTCACATCATCTTGGGATTTTTAACATGGCTCTAGTAATTCAGATGTTTGTACTCAGTTTTGTTGGAACACAACAAAAAGCCATTTTTCTGGTGGTTATTGCCAAATTTGACACCCAACTCAGGTTGACTCTGCACTGCGTGCTATAGAGTAAATCACCCCTTTACATTCTCAGGCCACGCTGAAATTGTCATTTTTTTCTTAATGTAACTCGTTTTCCACCCAGTTGTTTAATAGGTTCAACAGCTTTGCAGCATTTTTAAACGTGGTGCTCTTAAACAGCACTGCTCACTTTTATCCCGTTTATTCTTTTTGGATTAAAACGTGTTTTCTGAATATTTACTGTACTCACTGTAAGTAAATATACTGCCTTTCTGTCCTCTTTTAGTTTAAGTGTTTTACATTCCCCCTTCTCCATGCTAAAGTATATCTTTACCGAATTTCTGACTCTTAAATTGTCTAATTAAATGCAAATGCACAGTGGGTTTAATTGTGACGTGATCAAATCTTTTTTCTTTTTGTTGTTTTTGTGAGACTGAAAACCATAAAATGTGATTTCTTTTCATCGTCATTAACCTCTTAGTAGAGGTTTGAGTCAGACAAGCATGCAGAAACGTGCAACATATTCACTTTCCAGCCTTCTGTGTAAATGTTTATGTTCTATAACATCAATACAGATTTTTGTTACACTTCAATCTGCTTTTTTGATTTATTTGAAAGTTCTGTGCCCACTCTGAAGGTTATCTTCTTTGGTATTTTACCTGAAAGCATCCCTTTTGAAGACCACTCCCTCCTCCCTGTGCAGCGGACACCCTGGGTGTGCAGTCCAGTAGATGTCACTGCAGCCAAGGGAGCAGGACCGGAGGTACGTTTGACCCCCTTGACCTCTCTCGTGTGGCGCCGCCACCATGAAGATAGGAGTCACAGAGGCCAGCTGCTATTGCAGACCCTCAATTAACTACAAGTTAATGTCACACAGAAGTGTCAGGAGTATTCAAGAACAAAGCCTCGTGACTTTCAACAAACCATAGAGCAACAACTATGACCTGAGTTCAATGACAATCAAATTATGAAAGATTAATCAGTAAATTTAAATTTTTTATCACTTTTAAAAGGAAAATTTGTAATTTGTTGAAATAAACGCCACTTTACAGAAGCACACGTGCATACTATATCACTACCTCCACTAAACGGGGCATTTACTAATTAGCTACCATTCCTTTTTTATTATTATTAGACCCGAGTCACATGCATATTATAGAACATCATTAAAATGGGATCGTGTGGAAATGATGTTGTAAATCTGAATGACAAGCACATGCTTTTAAGTGAGTTTGGATGAAAACAAAGAAATCGGGGTCTAAAACATTTTATTTAAAAAAAAATGACTTGTTCTTTTCATTTGCATAAATTAATGAATCAAATTCATTGTAATGCAATACCAAGTGCACCAGGAACATAGAATGACAGTTTGAGTTAATGAAATGTGTTAACGGTATCATCATTTACTTGTATGTTAATTAGTCCAATTAATTTCCCCTGCTCGGTAATCTGAATATTGTAATAATCTTTGCTTCCCCGCAGGAATGAAACCTATGATACACAAACCTCAGGGACCATCAGAAATGGGAATTGTTCTTTTTTTCCCCCCCAAAAAATGTTGAAGTTTAGCAGATTTTATGAAGCGTAAAGTTTGGAAGATTTTCATTGGCTTCTGTTCATCGTGGGTTTGTTGGACCCATCTGGACCGATCACAGCGCCTCTGCTCGTGAGGTCGTGTTTTCTCCTCCAACAGTCCAACTTTGTCAACAAACTCTTCTTTTTACTTGAGCTCTGACAATGTCAGCCTCACCGCAGAACCATAATAAGAGGTGCTTTCAGCTTCCCCTGCTAATGAGTCTTAAGAGGAACCTTTGGTTAAATCACAAAGAAACACAGACAGTGGCTTTGATTTGGTGAATGCAGCGAACACTCCTGAATCCTGTAATTGTTGTGGTGTGAGCGTAATGTGAAGCACTTTTTCTTTTTCAAAATGAGCGAAACATAATTCAACTTCAATCTTATTTTGAAGCTGTTTCAATTATACAACCGCGGCGTCTTTTGTGACAGATGGGTATCATTTCAAACTGCGCTGACGTTACGAGATGTCTGCGACTTTATTGTAGCAGATAGCTTTTGGTTGTTCTTGCTCAGTCTTGGAATTGCAGCATAATTGTACGCGGCGCTCAGCTTCTCCAATTCATGTGCAAAATGCATAAATAAAATAACTACGTGAAGGGAGAGGAACACTGTAATCATGCAATAACGTTTTCCACTGTGTGTGTGGTAGAATTCAAAACGCTATTGGGATTATGGTTCTTAACCATTGGGAGGTAATGTGAACTGTTGGCAGAAATGACTTATTTCATTATGCTGTCCCAAATATATGAAATACTTCAGCGAGAGGGCTGCTTCTTCCCGAGCCGTGCCCAATTTTAACTGTTTTCCCCAGTTGTTGAAGGATAGGCCTGCAATTTTGTGAAATGACTATTATTTGCCTTTCTCAAGGAATCAACAACTTGAAAGTACAGTGCAATGAATTGTTGGGGTTCTGCAGCTGCATTCATTTACAATGTGTCCCTCTATTTTTTTGCAGCAGCGGCTCACAGAATTTAAAGCAGAAAATGGGTATTTATTTTCTTTTGGATATGAGCTGCAAGTCTCTTCATAAGTGGAAAGCACTTACCGTCCAGCCTAATGTATTTGTTTACTGCTGGATCTTTATTTTTATTTTTTTTTATGAAACCATTAGGACGTTGGAGACAACATTTTTAAAAGTGCCATGTCTCCACAGCCATGACACATTCTTGCCCTTGATCAACTACAGAAGTCAGACAATAGCTCAGATCTTTTTTTTTTCCCAGCTGTGGAAACCCAGCATGGATCAACTCAATAACCCGATATTCCCTGTCTTCAGAATGTGGCCAATTTAGCAGAAGGTCAGTGCCTTTTATTTATTTATATTTTTCTTTTTTTTATATATATATATCACAGACCATTTGTTGACCTCCCTCTGGATCCCCAGCAGGACCAGGACAGAATAGTAGAGTCAGAAGACGCTTCTCAAGGTGAGCAGATACCTGGTGTGGGACAGGGGCACCATTTATGTAAACCTGATGGTCACAGCTAGCAATTCAGAGCTCAATTTTTCAGTTTCTCTTGTATTTTTTGGGTCATTATTAACAGTGTTGAGTGTTTAAATTGAAAATTGTGGTTGGTGTGATTGCAAATTGTCTTCCATCTTTAAAAATATATATATATTTTAATTTTTTTGCAGAGGTGCCCTTCACAGTTTTAAATTAAACACTCAAGTCTCGGGGAAATTATGGTTTGACTCCATCTTATTTCAAGAGGGTGGAATTCAAACCAGATCTATCTTTGCTGTCTTTATTGGGAAATTTCTCCAGCCCACTGTTTTGCATTTATACTATATGGTCAGGTCCAACTGTGAAAATTGAATCAACAACAATGAGACACCTGCATCAAAATTTTCCACATTATGCTGTAATGCGTGCACAGTGTGTGTCTGTTTTTCATGGAGGAGAAAATTGAGAAAAATGACGTTAAACACCAATGAAAAGATTAGGATGGATTATTATAATTTTTTTTATTTTTTTATTTTATTTTTTTTTTTTGCCGGTCCTCACAGCAGTCATACGCTTCTCTGTACAAAGAAGCTGTTTTTTTTTTTTTTTTACTGTGCACTGAAGGTCAAACGGCTGCAACTTTCCTGGACTTGAGTGCGGAGACAATTCTGCAAACATATGTTCGGTATTTTTCATTTGGTGACAAGAGCTGGCCTTCAACCCGTTGAAACTGACTTGCGATATGAAAGAAGTCGTTTTGTGTCTGAAAATGTACATTAAATGGTGTCAACAACATCTGAGAGGTCAGAGTATAGAGTCCCCATGGAGACTGCATCTGGCTGCTGTGCTCGAAGACCCGACACCCCCTCCCTGAGTGGCGGCTCTGTGATGGCTCTCAGTTTCTCTCGTCATGTCCCTGGCAGCTTTGACACAGGTAATATGCATGCGGGCTGACAGTGGCTGGGATGTGCTGCGGAGACAATGATGTACATATCATTTTCCTCGCTGACTGATTGAAGACTGTAATCTGTGCTGGACTTTCTCTCTGATTACACACGTCTCAGGGAGCAAAACAAGGACTCTGAGCCACCACTGGGCACTGTGCTCATCCAGGGCTTTCAGCCTTCAAGAGGACTGAAGTCCGCCTTTAAGGTGAGCTCAATTTTTGTCCCATTTGCACCATTGTTACAAGTGTCGGATGGAATGCATCTAGCAGATAGTGGTCAAACATTGGCTTGTCTGCAGATGACACAAAAGCAGAGTGCCACCCAAGGTCATCCCATCCCTTTCTTTCAGAGCAGCCACATGTTTAGCTCACCTGTAACTGCACTCACAAGCAGAGCAACAGAAATCATCCTCTAGATTTCATAATTAAAGCAACTTTCTGCGACGTCGAAGGCTTTTCCTCTCTTTACCTGGTGGTGTCACCTTGTGAGGTGCACTCGTGTCTTTATGTGAAACCGAAGAGATTCCCTGTTGACAGTAGATCAGTCCTTTACATAAGGTACCTTGCACATTACAAGGTTGGTCTCCAGGGAGAAGTAATGGGTTCTGGGCAATTGACCAACCCGCCATGCTTTACTGCACCTGCACTGGGTTAGAGCTGTCATCATTACCACTTCCTCTAACGTTCCCCCCGCAGCAACCCAGACACTCCCACTTTGGGCGATATTTCACTTTGGTGGAACGTTTTATCTTTTCACGCATCCCTCCACACACGAGTGGAGGTGTCTTTAAGATTCAGAGCATTAAGAGAGTGTTTGGGATCCTGAGTGGTTTTTCAGAAGGGATATCAGCTTGAACTTTTCAGATTGACAACTAAGTTTTGCAAAAGGATAAAAATCTTAAGGATGAAAGGTTGTAAGAAACGTCTACCCATGTTTTATGTGTGTCAAAACACCAAGAAGATGAGGTTAGTCATTTGAATGGCATTTATCCTCTATTTTAGTCGGGCTGTTCAAAAATGATTGCAAGATTGTATAGTCTGAGAATAATTATTAGGCAGTCCTGCAAAAAAGCCGTTTGAATGGTTCATTAAAGTGAATCAGAAAAGGAACAAGCTCCTGCATTAGTTAGTTAATCAGGACTTGCTGCTAGAAAGCACCTTTAACTTAATTTTTCATTAGTACAAGCCCTTAGAAATGGTCGTACATTTAAATGAGTGCAGCCACACCACAGACAGAGGAGGAATCAAACCGGTGGAGGTCACAGACGTCACGCACACATAGCTTACTGATTACAGCGCTGCCTGAAATACGGACTAATCAACATCTACAACAAGGTCTTTCTACTTTACTTACAGTATGACCAATAAGGACAATGCTGTGGAATAGCATTTACTCATAAATATGTTGTGTGTGTAGCTTTCTTTGTTATCTTCATCCAATTTTTGTGCAGCTTCCTTCCTTTGCACTTCATGCCACTTTCTATCTCAAATGTTTACTTTCTCATACCTTTTGGATTACGTGCTTATTCCTGCAGAAATACCTGCAAAGACTTTGACCCTGGAATGATAGAAGAGCTAAGTTTAGCATGCTATAACGCTTCACCTGTAGAGTTATATTTGATTA